TGCTGAATAACCTACCAGTGCGTTTTTTATGTTATTTTTATATCAGTCAGAAGACTGTCTTGTCAGTGTTTGTAAAGCAAGTGTCTGCTGAAACCTGCTGAAATGCATTCTTGTGATGACATTGACTTTTAGGTCTGTTCTTTGGATATCGTTATCTAATTTGTGTTACGTTCTTCAGTCTTCTGGATGCCACTGTTAAAAATTGGTTTATTCTCATTTGTTGTATCGGAGTATAAAAAGAAATAATAAGAAACAAATGGCAGGATATTACTAAAGACTTTAAACCCTGAAGACATTCCTATGATAAAGGCATGGCTCGATTTTAAGTGGTAGTATCTCCATTAGCATTAATGGGGTAAGTACATCAGCTGAGGCATCTCAGAGGTTAATCAGGCTTCCTGGCTAGATATTGCCATCAATACAGTGTGGCGCCTAATTCTGTTGGCCCTTCAGAGGTTTTCCTGACAACACGCTAACAGACTTTGTGTAAGTCATTTCCTATGAATTATTAAAACAAACGTTTGGCTGCTAATTGATGAACACTAATGTGTTTTCTAATCACTGCAGTTTGAGATTTTAGCACTAAACAAAGCAGTTGCAATTGATTTGTGGCTGCTTCTTGGTTTCAGTCTGTGATCTGTACGGTTTTTTTCCCTTTTCAATTTAGCAGGCAGCTTAGCTTGTCTTTTTAGTTAAGAATTGGCTTGTTATAGTGTCGTTCTATTCTGATCTCTTTTGTTATTTCTTATTTGAATTGCATAATAAATGTGCATAATTCTTTATAGGCAAGTAAGGGACAGTCCTTGATTCAAGGAGAAAATATTTAAAGTTATAGTTTGAGGTTTTTTAACCTGTATCTTGCCTGATGTGTATACTCTCCCACTTTCTCCAAATAAAATACAATAACAATCTTCAATAAAATACAAAAACAATCTTCAGCATGTTTGGAGCATAAAAGCCAATGCAACTAATATGTTTTCAAACCAAAGTTTGAGAAACACGCAAACTATAGCAAGTCAAATTATTTGTATTCGGGTATGGGTGTCCTTTGTACAAAGTTGTCCTTTGCAGCACCTAGAGGATGGGGTCTTTAATTCTGCTGGGTTTGAGTCCGATATTCAGTCCGAGTGCTGCAAAGGGCAACTTCCTGAGAAACAAATGAATGTCGCTATCGTATCCGTCGAAGGCCAGATCCCTTATCTTTTGCACTTGTGCTGAAGACACCTGCAACTATCTCAGCATTAAGCACTGTTGGTTGTCGATATTTCTGTGTGCAAAACTTCCCCCCCCAACCCTCCTTTGCTTAATCATTTGATCCTTCTAACTGTCAATGCTCTGTACCTTGTGGAATAAGTAAATAAAGAAATTAGAAAAGAAAAAAACCCATAACATTGAGAGAGCATTAGAATGAGTACTTCTTTAAGTATGTTTTGGAAGTTCCTAGTTAAAATATATTTATTTCTTAAGGAAAGGTGGCTTGCCAATATATCAAGTTGGTAGGATGTTAAATCTTTTGAAAAGATTACTGTTACATACAGTGTCTCTCACAGTTAATATATCACTTATAAAAACATATTTATGTTGTGTGTTTCTATTGTGTGTGTGCAGCCTACTTACAGTATTAATTGTGTCGAGAAAAAATTCAAGGTAGACCTGCAAAGGACCCCTAAACATTATTTATTGGTTCTTTTTTTTTTTTTTCTTCTTTTTTTATAGACGATAAAGACTGGACTTACAATGGTTGGGAAAGTAGTTACCCAGCTGACAGGGACGCTGCCTTCAGGAGCAACTGAAGAAGAAGTTTTAGCTCATAGCAACATTCGTCGAAGTCCTCTGGTGCCAGGAATCATCACTATTATTGATACAGAGACAGTTGGAGAAGGGCAGGTAATACAGTTTGCACAGAAACAGAGTGTATATTTGTTTTCACAGAAGCCTTAAGAATACAATGTATTTTATGCTTTTGAAAATAGATAACAGATGAGATTTTTGCTAGGTGAAAAACTTTTACAGGCTCATGCAACTGACAAAATCCTATTTGGGAAGGAATTTAAGCCAAAAATATATATTGTCCTTAGACTGTATTTATGATACTTTGACAACATCAAGTGTGAAGTGTCACATTTTTGTCTGTCTAACACTTGTTCATAATTGACATTGATTTATGCTGGTCAGTTGAAATGAATATGTAGCTTGATTATATTTAATACGTAATGTGGCTAGAAAATATGACAGTCTAGAAATATGGCAAGTTGTTTAATTCCAGTGTAAAATAGACAATTGAGTGAACTTGTATATTAAGTGCAAAAGCTTATGGTTTTACGTATCTTCAAAACTAAAATGTGACCGAGTATGACTGTGTTCAATGAGTAATTTGTACTGTTTTACCAATAACATAGTTAAATTATACTGTACAGTGCATCGGGCAAAACAATCTGTTAAAAAATCCATACAATAATCATACCAACTGTAAATTGGTGTTTTGAACTGTCTTTATGATAGAGAAGATAGCCACGTGTCTCTTATTTGCTCTATCAATAATTTCATTTTTCGGGCCTGATCCTGGAGTCAATAGTCGTGCAAGACTCCCATGAGTTTCATTATCCTGTAACTATTTTGTAAATTATTTTTTTCTTAATGTTCACGCTTTCATTTAAAAAAGAAAAACTGTTTTTTCATTTGTTTCCTCGTAACTTCAGGATGCATTATTGCAGATAATAATAATTTAAAAAGTAGAGAATGGAAGTTAGCACATGCTTTACAGACATAGGTCTTAAAGTAAGTCTGACCTTTTGGGATTTGTTTTTGTTTCCTGGAAAAAAGGCTGTTGGCTTTCCTTATACTACCAGAAAAAAAAGGAAGAAAAATTCTACTTCATAAATCTCTCATGAAGCCTTGTTTAATGCAGTCATTGTTCCTGATGGTCATTGTCTGTGCTTTGACTCTTCTGCATCAGCCTGGGCTGGGGCGGGGGAGGATTTGTCTTAGGTTTTTAAGTCTTATTATGTATGTTTTGGAGGTTTTATGAACTTGTCCTCTGACCTTAACAATAGTAGGGAGCTATCAAGCCTAAAGGGCGCTATGGAAAAGTAGTTGTAAAAATGATAACGCTTGCCTTGTTCACATAAGGCTGTTGTAACCTTAATAAGCCATCATTTCTAGTAAAATATTTTTTATCTTGACTCCCTGAGGGAAGAGGCTCTAAGGTAGATATCCTAATCACGTGAATGTCTTGTGTTCAAATTTTTGTGAAGTTTAAAAAGCTATTAAATCATTTATCTTCCATGATAAGATTTAATTTAAGAATTAACATTATGCTTTTTTTCCAATTTTACTTTTTTTTTTTTTTAAACTAAAGTGTGGATCTAGAAAAGAGAAAGTGGATTGTAAACATATAAATCAGATTTTGTATATGGCCTCGATAAAGATTGTCATCCAACACTGCCCCAGTTCCTTTCACTGTAATCTTTCTGTATAAGGATTCACGTGTGCTTATAATCCCTGCTGCGCTGTTGTCTGTCACTCTTACTGTTTTTCCATTGTCAGGTAAAAACCTAAGTTTTTGTGCGCACAGCCTTACTTGAACATGGCCGATTCTGATTTTGCCACTCGTGTGAGTTGACTTGGGCCTCGGAGACTGGCAGGGATCCCGTTCTTTCCTGCTGGCGGGAGCGAGCGAGCCTGGAAGTGGTGACATGCTACTGTGTAGATGGCCTGTGCATGTGCTAGCTGGGTAGTGCTGGCCAGGTTTTTATAGCATAGTAGATTAAAACTTCAGGAAAGCATTTTAGCAAGTCTGTCCTTTAAACCATGCAAATAATCTCACTGAAATATATGTGATTAACTTATAGTTAAGCATCTTCCCGACTTGAAATCTGCATGGCTCTCTGAGCTACGTTGTTTCTTTCTCATTTTATTCATTTCTGAAATGATTTTACTCTTCTGTGGCGATTAGTTTGGTGATACTGGTGCTCCTAACTACAATATTACTGCCAGGTTCATTCGGTTGAAACAGAAGAGTGGTTAATGCAGAGTGCAGCCTCACCTCTGTTTAGAGCAAGGAGTTGTACAGCTAGGTATCAAATGCCTTGCCTTGCTCCGACTCCAATTGTCTTGATATTGTTCCTGGCAGTGTTTTTTCTAAAGCTATTAGTTTATGATCGAGCTTTTCAGAATCCAGGTGGGGAATAAGAGGTCTGAGCATGCACAAAGCAACACTTACTGGCAGTCCTTCTCCCTCCCATGATGATGATGTGGGTTCGTGGTTTGTTTTTTGAATATTTCATTTCTGCTGGTTTGGGGGATGCTGCTGGATGGCAGTGCACGCTGCAAGCACTGGTCTCCCAAAGCTGAATGGGAACCTGCAAGAGCTGGTGATGCTGAACAAGTGTTTTCCGGACTAAGTTACCAGTTGAAAGCCTTGCAGTCCTTTCATCAGAGATTTCTCCAGCAGATACATAAATATATTGTGTGTGTGTGTGTATGTGTGCGCACATGTGCATATGGCTTTCAAAGGCTGTCAAGCTAATTGTAAGCTTGGAGGGGAATTTCAGAAACAGAAAGGAGTTAGTTTCTATCATCCACTAACTTCTAATGTAAACTGAGCACCTCGTGGTCTTTAGGCCAGTAAAGATTTCTATCCTCCTGCACAGCCGGACTAAGAATTGGGGTGTTGTAATGAAATAAAACAATTTCCTCATAATAAAATATATCTTGAAGATAAAATACAGCAATGAAAGGAAAAAAGCAGTTTTGAAAAGAGGAAGAAAATGCAAAAAGATCCTAACTCGCCGTACATTTACTGCCTTCTTTTTCCAAGTCTTTTTGAAATAAGCACTTTTTCAGTGAGGGAGCAATTTTTTGTATAAAAAAGGATTACAAAGTAATGATGTATGTGCTTGTCCGTTTACTTCGAGCTTAACAACACAGGCTTTAAAAGTGGAGGTACTCCATACCTACGTGCTAACATGAAGATTTACCTGCCAGTATGAGGATTAAGGGACACGTTTTGGACAGAGGCCAGAAGGACTGTAACTTTAAATGTTCACTAATCTTTTTATTCAATCTACCATTTCAAAGATATCCAATGTAATGAATGCGAGGTGGAACTCAATGCATTTCATGAAATATATTGTGCTACTGTGGCATAATTTGAAATATTATTAGCTTTCCACTCAGAACTACACAAGTACAGATCGCAGAAATCTTTTAATGTAATCTAGCAGTCTTGTAATCTGTGGGGAAAATATTTTTAATAAACCTTATGAATGTAGATATTATAGTGAAGTCTCATACCCAGCAGTTGTTTGCTAAAGTTCCTACTTTCAAAAATTTTGGTACTCTAAGAAAATTTGAATTATGAAGTTATTAAATAAAAGGATAGGACTGTCAAATTATTGGAGCTGGCTGGCATGATATGTTTGTAAGGAGGTAAACATAATTATCAGGATGCCCAAGTAACTTTGTGGTAAACCAAAATATGTTAACAAGGTTGTGTGCTTATTTAAACTTCCTTCTAATGAAGTGTTAGCAAACTTTTCAGTTAGATGTAATGACTATTTATTTGCATCTATTAATTAGTTGAAATGGATAAAACTAAAGCTATACAGATGCCCCTTTTTTCCAGTAATTGGAATTAAAGGTGTAAGGCTTTAGTGGCTTGAGTTTTAAAGAAAAATTATTTTCTTTTGACCTTTGTTTCTGTATTCTTAATTAATTCATCAACTGGGCCACCCACATGTAGTCTGCAGTAATGACCTTTCTCAAAAGTCGCCAGTTTTGTGACTGAATGTAAATCTGTTAAACATCTAACGTTTAGTTGACAGAGAAATATGTGGTCATTTAAAAATACAAAACTTGATTCTTAATGCTTTTGATAGAGAAATGTGACTGACAGTATATCATGTTGCTTTCACAGATTATCCAAAACACATGAAAATATTTGAGGAAATATTTTAAAAATAACTTACAAAAATAAGATAACATGTTGATCTTTTCATGTTTTAAAATGTGATTGGTGCTTTTTTTTCTGTTCCCCATTAACTTTTTATTGCATTAAGGAGGAATTTTCAGAAAAAAATGCAGACTGCTGCAGTTTCAAAAGTTCATTTTCATTTGGTAAGGAGTTGATAACAATTGAACCACATAAAGATGCTTATCAGGAGTAAGAATCATTGTGAAACTTCATCCTAAAGCAAAAAGAAGTGAAAAGAATAAAGGGTATTCAATAATAAAAGTTTAACTGCATACATAATTCCACTGGTCATTAACACCACTGCTTTTATTTATAAGAACAGTTTTCACAAAAGCTAATTTGACGTTCTAATGCTCGTATATTTGGCATCAATTTTCTTCACTTTTTATATCTACATGTATAACAGAATAATTCTTTTTATGTATACATACAAAAAGAGCAACAGGATTCCCTCAGAGCATAATACCGTCTGCCTTACTTTTATTAAAGGAGATCTGTTTTTTGTCAAGAAGACATTTTTGTCTCAGATAAATGGTTCAGGCTGAGCGCAAGGCTGTTTTGAGTTTATGCTGGATTCTATTAAAAGGAGTGCAGTAGTTAATGTCACAGATTTATCACTTGTAGCCTTTTTCCACTGATGTTTGACCTTAGCTATAAGTTGGGGGGATGCTAATTGTGGGGGTGTTGGTTTTGGGATTTTTTGTTTGTTTTTTGAACATATAGCTTAGGAACTGAAGTGGACACCACACTAACTTTAGCTATTTAAATCAATGGAGACCTTAATAAAGGGATCTTTGCAAGTATATGTATTGTATAATATTCATATTTATAAATATTGTCAAACTTATTTTTTTATGATGAGGGGATCATTCTTCCTTAATTTTATTAAGAGTAAGACCTACTTGATTAAATTTGTGTCCATTTTTATTTGTGTTACTTTCATGTTTTATTTAAAAACATGTCTGCATTGGGATAAGTGGTGTAATTTGCCTTTTAAGATTAAAATAATTGAAGTCATAATTACCAGTGGCTTCTGTTCAGCAATACGGAAAATATAAAGACTGAAGAAAAATATGCCATAGGAGAAGAGAAGCTCCAGCTTTAAGCTATCTCTTGCACTGAAAGCAAACACTATTTTCTGATAGCGAACCTAATGATCCCCTAGGTGTTTTGTGTATTTCTCTTTTGGAATTAGATAAAGACTACTTTATTCACCTTCTATCAACTGCAGTGTGCTGTTCCCCTTTAATGTAGTTGGCTTGATAGAGCATTGGCTCAACGTGTCCAGCTAAGCTCTGGCTAGACTGGGCTGCCTTCTGAAAATCGTGTTGCAGCTCTCTTGATAAGAGCCTCTTTGGGAATCAAAAATAGGCTGAATGGTGATTTGCAAAGTCATCTTGGTAGAAGAGTTTTAGTGTTTGTTGTGTGCATGTGTGTGTGTTTTTTTTTTTTTTAATGGAGTTTCTATTTGTAATGATAGGGAACTCTATACGGAAGATACTTAAGCAGCCTTACAAACCTGGGCTACTATGCAATTATAAGAGGAATACTGAGATTTATTCACCTTTTACAGTGAGGGACTTTATAAGGTCTATTAGTTTTTAATAGTAGAGTGGTTAGAGGCTACCACTTTGGCTAATGACATCTCTTTGGGATGAAAAAAAAGTAGCCCCAGGATTCCCATGGGCTTTGTCTGCTCTGCGCATGGGAAACTGAACGAGCTGCTACCTTTGAGCTTTTTGACAGTGCTTGCATGCATCGTTAGGCAATTTGTACCACTGTTTCTATTTCCAAGAAAAATTTCCAACTCCACTCTTTTTAGTGATTAAAAAAACCTATAAACTGGTCGAAAGGAACCAGTTGTACAATGTCAATATTGACCTAACGTGCCATTTGCTAGCCTACGGACATCGTTCTCTCCAACACCTTTGCAGATAACGTCTTCCACTTTAGCGACTTTAAGAAGTGTTTTCTGATATCTGTGAAGTCTATGTGGAGGAGGCCTTCAATACTACTTCATTACTGTGCAGCTCCAGTCTTCAGCCTTGTCTGCATGAAATTCATGCTCCTTGGTCTATTTAACGTTATACAAACCCTATTGTATCACCTATCTCAAGATCTCTATTAGAGAAAACAATATATTCCAGTATATATGTGTATTATGTCAACATAAATTTATTTTCCTTAGGTGTTATATGTAATGGTGAAAATCATACTCTTAACTGAGAAAACTACGCAAGCTTTGAATTGGCATGGGAACAAGACTTTCATATTACGGCAGATTTGGAAGGGACACCTCCAGGGAGGCTTCTCTTTGGTTGACAGTATGGATCAGTCAGCTGCTGTTAATTGCATTGATTCTTCCTTGCACTGTAGTGTTGAAATTACACACTGACCTCTGCAAAAGACCTTTCAGGCGCATGTGCAGGGGAAGGACATTACAAATCTTGCAGTGCAGTCTAGGGGTTTAAATGCAAGTCAGTGATTTACAAAAAAGTACTTCCTTTTGTCTCTTTTTTTAAAAAGATGAATATTTATTTAACTGTATCCTACCTCTCAAAAGTGTGTTTCCCCTTGTGTGTTTCACGAGCAAATATTTCCTCTTTGTGGCCACAATGTGAAGGGAGTGAGAGATATTATATGTCAAGAAAGGAGGGGTGTGGTACCCATCAGCAACTGCGTTTTGTTTGTTCAGATTCGCCATCATCCAAGGATTTCTACGTTTTTGAGTAAGAAAGGTGTTTCTGTGTGTTTTTGCGAGGCTAACACAGGAGACTAACGTTTCGGTTTGAGTCTGGAAGCTTTGCACGAGTCAGGCTCGGTGGCGGAGTAGGATTTCTGGGATCTACAAGGTCACAGTTGCTTTTCTTTATTTCTTGAGTGGACATTATGCCAAAAGGTGGTTCGTTCTTTTATGTGTATCACAAACAAAGGAATACTATCCAAGCTAAGAGAGGACGCGTTTGTTATGTCTGAAAAATTAGTTTTATAGTAAAAAGCAGAGGTTTTGAAAACCTTTTTATATATATATGTGTGTGTATATATATATATATATATATTATAAACAAAGGGGAAGGAAGATTCCTATTGTGTTCCTATTGAATAGAGGTTTTATGTTGCAGGGATGATAACAGTGGTGCATTTACCATTAGTTTAAGAAAACAACAACAAAAAAACACATGCTGAATTAATCCAGTTTACAATCTGTAGAAGAATATGCACATGAAACAAACCATATAACTTGTTTTAAACATGATTTAGATACTGTTGATAGTTACACATTTCTAGGTTAAATATTTTTGTTTAACAGACTGGATTTTAAAAATCTATTTCTTTTGTGAAGCTGGTTTATGATATTACTTTATCATTATCATGTATCTTTAATTAGAGTGAAATGTTTAGGATAAGATTAAGTTACATAAAAGTGGAAGCTGTGTAAAGATGATGTATAGGAGTTATTTAGTGCAGTTTATATAGGCTGAGAAAAGAACACTGCTCCTTTGAAAAGCTCTTAGGAAGATCTCCAGACCCTTTGGTTAGCGGTTCTGGAATCGGCACGGAATGCTGACAACGGAAAGCAAAACCATAATTGTGCTTGTGTGACAGTGCCAAGTAATTTGAACGTTTAAAGCGAGGCAGGCACAGGCCTCTTCATCCATATTACGTGACTTCTTTAAACATTTAAAGATGATTTCTCTTTTTGAAGCATAAAAATATCTTCCGATTATTCTGATATCTGTTAGGAACAGGAAGTATTAAAAACCTTTCGGATTATTTTGGAAAACAGCAGACAAATTTTTCTTGAACTTGAAATGGGAAATTTTGCACTACCTCAGTAAGAAACTGGTTTTTGCTCACCACAGATGACATTTTCCTAATTTCTTTTCTGTCAGATCTTTCTCACTGTTTTACTTAATTCAGTCTTTCACACAATGGGGTGTGTGAAAGACTGAATTAACCAAGGGGTAAAATACTTTTTCAGCTCTTCTTGCATCTGTCCACACATCTTTTGGTTCTCTTATATAATCTTAAGAACATCTTTTCATTTTCATGTAATTGGACATTGATAATACTTGCAGTTTCATGAATTTATGCTGTTTCTAGCTGAAACTGTGATAATTGAATAGCGGATAATTAGAACGGTAGGCTTTTCATTGTAGCAATTGCATAACTTACCAAAATTATTGAAGTCTAAGCCTCCCCGAGTGATTCATCTGTCATATGCAATGTTTCGGTATATGAAAATATCTATACTGTTTTTTGTGAATCAGCAGCTGGATATCTGATTTCTGTGTACTTTACTCCTTTTATCTACTGTTTTCTGTTTTCCAAAGTGAAACAGTAGAGCTTGATGCACTGATGGGCCGTTACCTACCTCTGAGCATCCCTGTTGTTCTTTTCAGGTCCAGCCCTATCCTTTTGGAGAATCTTCTTCAAATCTTCTCAGTCAGCTTTAGTTCCGACCGCCCCAAATAGTTTTTTATCAACTTCAAACATCCTTTAAAACAACAACAAAATCCAAATCTTTGTCCCTGTCTCCAGAAGATGTTGTGCAGCACAGAGCCCAGCCCATATGCTTCACTTTTCTGGTCATTTCCCTATGTTGTGAAAACTCTCCATGTCCTACCCTTTATTTGATTTTTAATTCACAAGGGGATATCTTATGACAGCATAATTTCTTTAAGGGGTTTTGGTCAAGGACCTTTGTAACACTGATATTTAACTGAGGATGTTTCAAGATGGAGAAAATTCTTGTTAGCTTCACTTTTTGTAATGCAGCTGCCTTCAAACACACTCCCAATCCTCAGCACTTTTGTCATTTGGAAATCCAGTGGATGCAAGCTGTAATATTCCTACGTATGTAACTAGTGGAAAGCAAACCTAGTGCTTTTCTTGACTCTTCTGTGCATCCATTTTTCCACTTGTTTGCCATGTATACTTTAAATCCTCCAGAAGAAAATTCTGATTTATGTAACGGTTAAATATTCCTGTCTGAAGAACTTTCAAAAATTTGAAAACCTCTATGCTACCTCTTGTTTTGTTTTGTATTACTTGGTGTATGTTATCACTTAGAGAAAATCATCTGTTGTTTACAGTTGAAGAACTGTGCGCGCTTTTCAGTCTAATCACACCAATCCTCCTTACATTAGTTCAACTGCAATATAAAAATTTCCTGCTTAGCGGTAGGCAAGTGAGGCGCAGTTTCGTTACCTCCGCGGGACTGCTGCTGAGTCTGGCAGAACGAGGGCTCCTGGCTGCAAAGTAAACTCGTGAATAGCAGGGCCCTCTTGACTCTAGACTTACAGCAAGGGCACAGGCCTTGCCTCAGCCAACAACAGCGAAGACCTTAAACATAGCTTCCCCATGCGCTTGCATGCAGAATCCCTTTTTAATAAGCTTCTCTGCAGCTGCTCGTACCTAGTATAGCAAAGCAGTAAGAGTTTTCCAGTTTTGCTTTGTTTGAATAGGCTAAGTAAACAGGGAATCCTAGTACAAAATGCATAATCCTTTCTAGTTAATTGGTAGGATGTTTTCACTTTTCTCACTTTTTATCTGAAAAATTTGCAGAAGGTTGTTTATGTGCATATGGATTTTTTTTTTTTTTCCTGGTTCGCATGCAGTTATGTTTCTAATTCATGGTGTTGTGTACCTCCTATAAAACAAATCGTATATCGGTAACTTGATATTTTCACTTATGTTAATTTTCATTTCTTAACCTTCTTTTGTCTCTGTTAATATTACACAGGTACTCGTTAGTGAGGATTCTGATAGTGATGGTATAGTGGCGCACTTCCCTGCACATGAAAAGCCTATCTGCTGCATGGCTTTTAACCCTAGTGGTAAGTTATTTTCCTGTTTTAATGTGATAGTTGTTAACCAGATGAAGAGAATAAAATACCCTAGGTATGTGTTCTGCTCCTTTGGAGGAATGGCAAATACCACTGTAATTCATGCAAATGTCTACTTATTATTTTTATAACTTTTGATCAATTTTGGGTGTTCAATGTCATGCACAGTAAACTTGTCTTTTTTTGAAATTTCAAACTTAAGCAGCTGTTATGCTGTCATATATGTAAGAAGAATCCGTCTACCAATACAGAAGTGCTAAGGGAGTTTATTCTGTTTAGTATTGTGATATATTCCCAGATGTTTTGATATACAGGTATCCAGCGGATCAGTACTTTATTAAAATTTTCCTCTTCCACAAATATGAAAATAAAATGGGTCATTTCAGTGGCATTTTTTTTAAAGTAACATGGTGCCACTGTGTGTTTTGTTGATGGGTAGTTTGGAATTCAGCCCTCTCTGTGCTGAGTGAAATCAACCATTATCTGAAAATACTTTTAGGGAACTCATCAAAAGCCCCTATTGCTCTCCTTTCTCTTTACAGATGATAAATGGTTGCAGGCAGGTGAGATTCATCTTGTTAATAGAACTTACTTATTTACCAGTTAACATATTTGTTTATCCTGAAGACAACGCAAAAAACTGTTGGTTGATTGCAGTGGTGGTCAACGAGAGACCAGGAATCAACAGCTTCCGCTTGCCTAAATTAGTGAGTTGTAAAATGTAGCAAATGCCATGGAGAGCTTGGGGATGAAGTTACATTTCAAGGAATAAAACAATGCGTGTCACTTAAATTTTCACATTTAGTGACCAGTTGGTCTTATTCTGACATCCCATCTGTTGTGTCAGAACTCTTTAATAGTGGCATGCAGTTCAAAGCCTCTTCGCTGTTAGTTTTTGACATGAAGAAGCTGTATTCTCATCTGGCTGAATTTTCTTCTGATAGTTCAGAGAATTTTTGTGTAACTCTACATTTGTAAAGTGCGAATCAGCTATGCTCATTCAAGAGCAGTAGTATTTTTGCTTTGTTCTCTGGTGGAAAGATAACACCTAGAGTTGAGCAGTGATAATGAGCTGAAATAAATACAGCTGCTTAAATTTGAATGCTTTATAAATATTGATTAAATGCCTTCTTAAAACAATCTTTTTTGATGGTATAAATATAAGGAAAACAGTTTTTATGCAAGTACACATTAACTTGCTATTAATTTTTTTTTTTTGAAATATATGTTTGAATGTTACTGGATGCCTTGTCTCACAATCTAGTTCCTTCTATTTGCTCAGGTGCTAACATTATATCCCTTTTTCTATAATGAAACAGACTATTACCTTGCCCTAATGTTGCAATAAGATACTTAATGGGAAAACAGTTTTTGCTAAATGATGTTATTTTTGACAGCTTGCAAATTGTGTGTGTTATGAGATATTTTCAGAGGGGGATGATTCACGGTAAGGTATTGAATCATACTGTACCTTCTGGATCACAGAGCAGTATCAAAACTATTACCTCAGCTCCTTACAACATGGCATCAGCACTTAACACAGTAGTCTAGATGCTTTATTTAACGTCAAAGTAGTGTTGTAAGTGACATAATCCATTATACAGTGGTATATTGCCAATCAAGCTGCTTCCTTTACAAAGAAGAACAAGAGGTGGCCTTTGCTACTGACTTCTTCTATTGGTTGATTATAGCAAGCAGACGTATTTATTCATATTTTGAAGCTGCGTCTGTGTGATGTTGTACCAAAACATAATTGACTACTGTTGGTATGAAGGCAAACAGTGAACACTGATCTTTCGCTGAACTATTTTATTCTGTATGGCTAATCAAACAGCTTAATTTCATCATGTCTCGTCCTCAAAGTGCCCATGAGCTATGGAGGTGTTCAGGTCTGCAAAAACTTAAAAGGATTGTTTAAAAACCTGAAAACAGCAACAACAAAAAGCAAACCTATGACCCTTTCACTCCCAGCTAAAAACCCAACAAAAAACTGAAAACCCACAGAAAGTCACTGCCAAGAGGAAGATGGATATATACAGTTCTTGTGTAAGCAACCAATAGAATTGACTGCCACGGCCACCTTAAGTAGTGTTTTAAAGGTATCGTATTGCCATTAAGATGCATTTTCAGGGTTTCTGCTGTATGTTTTCATACCAAATACAGAACTTGCTAGGCATAGGTTAATCTATTGCAATAAAATAACAGTAACAAATTTAGGGATGTTGTATGTGTAGTAATGTTTTGCTTCATTATAGGACTTTCAGAAGAAAATTCAGTGATGAAGGCAAAAGATTCACTGATGTCAGTAAATCGCAGAGTTGTGTTTTCCCTAATCGTTCTTTTAGAAACTAAAAAGAAATCTTTTACTGCTCTTACAATGACCGTGATATGTTAAATTATTATGGTCCTGATCAAAAGTCTGTCTGTTTTTTGTTGTTTCCCAGTAGGGTGAATAATCTAAGTGGAGATCCATGCTAGGCTACCTGAGCTTGTTGTAAATGCAGCCTTTTACATTACCTGCATAACAAACCAAAACCTTAAAAAACAAGCAGGGGTATCTCTGCAGAGCACTTTATTATGCAGTGTAAGCATGTCTATAGTGACTTTTGTTGGCATTAGACCCAGCTTCTGTTTAAATTCAAGGCAAATCTGTTGATTTTTTTTTCTTTTCTTTTTTTTTTGAGGTATCCAAAGAAAGAGTAAACGTGGCATAGAGTTTTTTGAATCAGACCTAAGGCCTCTCTGAAGATATGATTGGTTGCATAATAAAATACACTTTTGAAATATCATTTATGAGTACAGTCAAAGGACACCTTAGATTTTTAATGATGCTGAACATGTCCCTGTATACCTCTTCCGGACCCTTACAGTAGTAAAAACCTGGCTTGAGTCAGTTTATTTTAGGGAGACTGTAAATGTCTTAGTCTAAGGCCTACAGCAAATTGTACTTGACATGAGAAAGTGGGGGGAAAAAATCAAAAAGAGAAAAGCTGCAGTTCCTGGCAGTTTAGGTTTTCTGTGTTTTTTCCTGTGTATGTCAAAGACTAATTTATATTTAATTTTGTTTTTTCGGTCAAATATTAAATAAAAGAAGTCAAAGTGGTTTACAATGGGGAGGAAGGGGTGCTTGCTGGGTTTCGGCAGGGGAGGGAGACTTTGCATGACAATTAAAAATATTTGTGACCAGGAGTCGCGCCCACAAAATCCCTTGGCTTTATGGCGTTTCTAAAAGCTAGGTGAGTGCATATATTGCTACTGCCTCTCCGCTTGACATTGCTCGTTTTAATAGGTTAGTAAGATATGTAGCAGTTCAGTGAAAGTGAAAAAAGACTGGTGCTCCTTTGCTGCTGAGTGACTTTTTGGGGAGAGTCTGCGAGGAATGCAAACGCCCTGGTCTAGTGGTTTAAAAAAAAAAAAAAAAGGGCAGGGTAGGCCTCGGCCATCGGTCCTGTTTGCTGGTGGTGCTGTGAGCGCTGGTGCCAGCGCTGCTTCTTACCCGTGGGCACGTTTTCTATATATTATGTTTGTCCTGTTTTTGGGAACGTGCTTAAGAAATCTGATTCCCAGATTCAAGTTCAGGTGACTTGGCAGTGTTATTGATGTTTTGTTTTGTTTAGATTTAGCTGCTAGAATATTAGTGTTTCTTATCTCTCCCCCCATAGGAAACTGACACCGTTTTCTGTATACTTTATCAAGTATCAAAATAATGATTTATTTATATAATGCCACGTTCGTCAGTTGTTGCTTTTGTGATTTACACGAAGATAAGATTCCCCTTCTAAAGTACTGTGTTTTGATTTTAGAGATCTGATTTTGAATAAATTAAATACATGTTGTTATAGCAATAATTCAGCATTGCCAAGATCCATGGAAAAAAAAGCCACATATTAACAAGAGAGAGATCTAATTTTGGAGTATATATTAGATTAATAAGTAATATCAGTTAGTAGTATGGTGTTTCTTTCATGCAATTGAGTTGACTGTATAGAACCCATGTCTTCGTGCATATCTTCCGTGGGATGTGAAAGGACTCTAGGGAGGCATTTCTGTGTTTGCTTTTATTTTTTCACCATAAATAAAATCTCTGGCTCTTATGATCACTTAGATGGTCATTTAGAAAATCAGACAGATACTGCAGTGATTGCTTTGTGTGCCTGCAGAATCACAAATACCTATGAGGAGTCTCAACTGTTGCATGTTTTTAGCTTATGCAAGCACGCTGAGTCAGTATACCACAACTCCTACTCACGTTGGGACTGGTGCACCACGATACGTGGCGAGGGTACCTGCATGTAAGAGGAAGCAGCTGTGGGACCCCTGGTTGTGGTGATGGCCAGAAGTGGGATCCTGCTGGCAGAATAATTAATGCAGCTTGAAGATGGCCAGCTGAATTTTGCGGGGAGAAATGGCTAGCAGGTTGGGCTCTGCAGATCTGCACAGCCTGTTGAATGGCAAGCGCTGAATGTCTTTCTGTTATAGCGCTGTTTCCCAGGTGACTGGGAGAAGAATAATGTTTCTTCAACCTGATCAAAAAGGATCCAAGCGTAAGAAGAAAGTTAACATCTCTTAGGCATATAGAAACCACTGTGAGAGAAATGAGCCCCGTTTAGAGACTATGTAGTTCATATTTGAAGAGCCACATAACTGTCTGTGAGGTGCAGCTGCTGCGGGCAGAGTTAGGAGGGCCATGTCCACCCTTGGATTTAGGAGGGGATTTTTGAACAGAGATGAAGGCCTTTAACTTCTAGGTAGACGTCTATTAAAATTTTTCAAGATGAGAACAAATAGTGTAAGGAAGTGAAGTAATATTAATAGAGTGGGGACACTGTATGTAGAGGACAACCTAGTCGTCATTTTGTCCACCATTTCTTGTAACTATGATTTAGCCTTTTCCCTTCTAAGAATGTAAGATATTTAGGAATGTCAGTTCTATGCAGCCAGTACCAATTTTCTGCTATATAAAACAACAGCAGCGACGCAAGCTGTGTATT